AGTGGCCTAGGTGTATTTCTTCGGATTTGATGTAGTATACAACCTCCTATCAACCTAACCTAACCTAATAAAGCCCAAATAAAAATCAGGCAATGATTTTTATTTTTTAAAATTAATTATAAAACTCATTATGTGATATTTACCTTTAAAACACATTAAAAATGATCGTGTTAAAACAGAGATTAATAGAAAATTGGTAAAAATTTTTTACCACTGATATTATCAACCGAATTTGCTGAAATTGTGTAGAAATTATATTCGAAAATTGGAAAATTAAAATTCTTTATGTGATTTATATTCATTGTTTTGAAAAATAAAAATCATTGTTTAATGAAAATACACCATTTCATTTTTCGACAGAAATTATAACCAGAGTACGAAAATAAACTAAACGAAACGTTTGTAATTGTTTTTTTTTTTTTTTTGATATTTGCAGTGAGTAAAACAGAAACAAAACCAAAACAACAAAATCGATTTTTTCATTTGGTTTTGTATTGTTTTCGCTTTTGAGCACATCATGTTCGCAGCTAGAAAAGAATACAATGGGAGCAAAACTTAAAAGCTTTGAGCGAAACATTTCGCAAACGTTTTCTAATGGTTTTGCTCATTACAAAAACATTTTTGAGTAAAATTAAAAGAAGACAGTAGTAATAAAAACAGTAGTAATAAAAACAAAATAAAAAAAATTAAATCCACACACACACTTTATGATTCTTTCATTTCTGCATTTGTGGAATACAGTAGTAATAAAAACAAAAACAAAATAAAAAAAATGAAATCCACACACACTTTATGATTCTTTCATAAAATACGTTTCTGCATTTGTTTTATTCTCAAATGTACGATTGTAAAGGCAAACAAAAGCAAATAGATGAGCGAAAAGCCAATTGTTTTGTTTTCGCTCTTTCGATCTTTTAGATTTGCTCATGTACAAAACGATTTAAAAATTTTGAAAAGTTTTGTACATTATAGAAACGTTTGCGAAATGTTTCGTTTATTTTCATACTCTGATTATATCATGTTTTCCGGTACAACGCGTGTTGCGTACTTTTAGCTTTTCAACTTTAAGTGCTTCCCTTAATCAGATTTTTGACTTATCGTGGTATAGTTCGAAAGCACATTTTATTTTAGATTTTAAGAAATCAACCTTAGGCAGTAAATATTTCTTTGGTTTAATATCTTAAAAATTTAATAACGATGAATTTCTGTTCATAAGACTTGAATGAATAAGTCCATCAAATTTTATGGCCAAGAGTGGTTTACATACATGATTCACATGTAGTAAAAAACACTTAAAATTTAAATTTCTCAAAAAATTTATTGAAACCAACTAGTATTTTTACAACTTTTGGCTACAACCAAAAAAGTCAATTCTGCTAATGTAATGTTGTATGCAACTGTTGAATGACTACCCAGCAGTTCGGCAAAGAGTCAATGCATACGAAAAAGACAGTAATTTCCACTTAACCACCTGGATGATCGTAATTCGTATGTTTTGGGTCATTCGTCACGAATGTACCCTTTGTAATCGAGAATGAAGACAGTCGTCACTTTAGTGTCCTCTTTGTAAGCGGGAGCGGAGACAGTCGTCTCTTTACTGTCCTCAAGTAACCTAGAGATTATACTCTTAAAAGTTGTTTTTTTTTTTTTGTACTTCCGAAAGTAGTTATTTTACCCATCTACTAATGTGCCACCATCTAGTTGACTCAAATTTATATCTTTCGGGTCAATCGTCACATTATTGTCCCATAGTATTCTAGAGAGTAGACACTTGAAATTTTTAAATTTTAGTTCCATTAATATCTTACCACCTCCAATTCGTATGTTTTTGGTCTTTCGTCACAAATAAACTCTTTGTAAACGAGAATGAAGACAGTCGTCACTTTAGTGTCCCCTTTGTAAGCGAGAGCGGAGGCAATCGTCTCTTTACTGTATCTTTGTAGGGTGTAGAGTGACGATTGACTTCCTCGTAGGACAAGCCCATGTTAAAATGGTTGGTCACCTGGGTAGTCAGGCTATAATTAATTGTGTGTGTAAAGAATTTCGTGGTCGCAGTGTTGAAACTAAATTTATACAACGCACAGTGAGACATTTGCCACTTTTAGAAAGAAATTAAATCTTAGTGATATTGAGTTCTAATTTTAGTTACAGTTAGCACACAATTGGCCAAACGCTCCACACAATAATCAGCAAGATAAAACTGCTGCCACGCCCATTTTTTACAAGTACCCAGGAAAAACCCACATTGAAAAGTAATGAGTTAAGAAGCTAATAAAACCTTTTTTCACTACTTCTTCATTAGCATTTTGAGTCATTATTTTAACACGGTGATGTCATTTGAGGCAAGTACTTCTACGCTCGCTTACAAATAGAGAGTTAAAGAAGTACTTGTAATTTCTTTTACAAAACAGTTGTTGAGTAAGTGGTTTTGTTTTTTAATAATAAAAAGAGCCAGCTGGAATACGAACCAGGGACTTCGGTTTGTTAGTCAACCGTTCTACTCACTGCATCACTGCTTAGCTATTTTATTGGACGTCAAATAATGGTTTTCACATACGAATTTAATTTTGTTTTCTTTTTTGTAAAACACAATTCTTAACACGCAATTAAATAAAATGTGCAAACAAAATGACTAAGCCGAAAATAAAGTACTTCTATATCAGATTATAATAAAGTCATTACTAGAGTACTTCTAAGTAATGCAGACGATAAGTAGTAGTCATTGAAAAGCAAGTGATTATGGAAGTACAACCCATTACCGAGTTTTTGCTGGGTATATATTGAATAAAAATTAAATTTTTGGTCGCATATATCTCAAAACTTTTGCTATCGGTTTAGAATTGTATGTATTTTTAGAAAGACAATTTTATACAGATTACGATTTATTTATAAGAAAATGCAAAATTTAAATATTTGTAGCACAGTATCTGCAAAACATTAATAAAACCCATTTTCCTATTAAAATACATTATCAACATTTAGAGACTGTTTGAAACGGGTTAGTATTATCCGATTTGTCTCAAATGCTGAGCATTGCAGTTTTAGTGCATGCTCTTCTATAATTTTTAAAAATAATAAATATTAGGGTGGTAACTTTTAGAAATTTTTCTCAAATTGTAAAAATATTTGCAAGTAATTGAATAGAACATTAACACAAAAATTTACACTCTTATTAAAATTTTAAATAAAGTATAAATTCCGCGGTTTTTAAAAGAAAAAAATAAATTTATTATCATTGAATTTAAATCTGGAAATAAACAGAAAATGTTATTTTTTAAATAAAGCTATGACCCTCGATTGGCTTAAGTAATTGTTTTTTAACAGAAATAATTGTGGCCTAATATGTGGTGACAGGGCCAAAATTTACGTATACCCCTAATATGAGTTTACACTTAATTTAAAAGAAACATATTAAATTCTATAGGACACTCTGATTTTTTGGAATATTTCTGATCGCAAAAGGTCGCAGCCAATTTTCATATATATGATTCTATAGAAAATTTCCTATGTAAGGGTAACAATTAGATAACGGCAATTGGCTGCAGTCATTAGATTTATTCCATTAAAATTATAACTTTTATACCCTACACCACCATAGTGGGGAGGGTATTATACGTTTATGCTGATGTTTGTAATGCACAAAAATATTGGTCCTACCTTAAAGTATACCTATCGACTCAGAATAATTTTCTGAGTCGATTAATCCATGTCCGTCTGTCCGGCTGGCTGTCCATGTAAACCTTGTGTGCAAGGTACAGGTCGCAATTTTCAAGATATTTTGATGAAATTTGGAACATACGTGTTTTTAAAAATGGTTGAAATCGGTCCATTATTTCACCTAGCCCCCATATAACCCTACCCCCCGAAAAGGGCTTTGAGTTCATAATTATGTTAAATATTGTAGTATGTCTACAAAAATCGGCAAAACTTAGTTATACGTCTTAATAATACTACCGATTTTCGTAATTATGGACTTTATTTGACCCTAGCCACCATACAAAGTCCCCTTCAGAAAATGACTTGAAGGTCAATAATTCAATAATAAACACTAGTATCACGATGAAATCCAGCATACATAACTCTAATGTAAACGTAAAGCCATGTACCAAAATGTATAAGGATAGGCCCATATTTACCCTTGCCCCCATATAACCCCTCTTTTAGAAAATCACTTTTTTCAACAAATTGTTAAAATATTTCGAAATTAAGGTAAAGAACTTAAATGCTTTGTTATTAAAAATAATCCACAGTGGTATAGGGTATCATATGGTCGGCCATGCCCGACTATACTTTCCTACTTGCTAAATATATTTTTATTATTAATATTATTTTTTCTTAGAGTAAAAAATAAAACCTTTTAAATTGAGCTTTTTTCTATAAAATCATTGCAGAATAATTAATAGACTGAACAAACTATATAAATATCTGAAATTAATATGCCGCTTCAGGAATCTTACAAGAAAATTATTTTGTTTTTAAAAGGAGCAACTTTAAGCTCCTTTTAAAGGAACTTTGCAATTTTTTAGTTATTTTTCTATAGTATATGGAATGTTTACTCTTAATTATACATAATAACAAGCAAGACAATTGGAAAGCGTTTATTTTTTCGTTTCAAAAATGCCAAATGTCTCACTGTGCAACGTTTGAAAATTTGCGGCTCTTCAGTTATGCAAAATTTAGAAATGAGAAAAAGTAGACACTTTAGGATCAATCTTGAAGAGATCACTGTAGGAGAAGTTTAAATGTTGGAAAAATAAACGTGAACATTTTCGGGTTGTAACCAAAATTAGCCGTGGGTCAAACAATAACACTTGTTTATATCAAAAATTTCCGGTTTTGTATTAAAAAATTTTAAAATTTGTTTAACGCTCGGTAAAAAGTAACATTCTATTTCGACGTACTTTTTTATACTCTACATGGAGTAGATAGGGCCGATTAGAAATTTTCTATTCTATAAAAGTTATAAACTTAAAGCGCATGTATAAATTAAATAAGCTTACCAAGGTTTTGTGTTTTGTAATACATCAATTAATGCTTGCAACTGTTGTCTAAAATTGTCACTGACTGTTATTTTTGCCTTTGAAGTTCCTCTTTGAGTATTGGTTGAGGTGGTTTGCATTTCCTAAAATAAAAAGTTTATAACATTATTAAAAATTAAGGTAGAAACAAATAAACAAATAAGAAAAAAGCATTCGGCTGTACGTGCTGTATTCTTTATCATAGGAAATATGTTTAATAAAAATAATATGTATTTTGTTAGAAAAAACAAGTTAGCTACAGTAGTTTTAGCTTATAGTCCACAACTACAGTTGTAGAAGCGAGTTAAGAATATAACAGAATTTCTTTTTAATCCACTTTATGGACTATAACTGAATCCTGATATAATACAAATTTTGGTCTATATGCAAAGTACGTACTTTCTTCAATAAAACCACTTTTTTAAACAAAACAAAAGTTAATTTAAAATATAATCAAATATTGATTTAAATGAAGTCAATAATTATTATATTAGTTATTATAATAAAAAACTTAAAGTATGAGATCTATTTTAAGGCCCGTATTCAGAAAGAAGAATGTAAATCAATATTTAAAATTTCTTTTCTTCTTTCTGAGTTTGGGCATAAGTCTTTGGATGACTAAATCTATCTTTTATAGATTTTCATACAGGTTCCTAGGTTCAATATTTCAGAAATTTTCAATCAATAATGATTATAGTTTCAATATTACAGAAAACTCAAAAAATATCAGTTGGAAAGTCCCTTTTTTAGATTTTAGTTGAATAAGGACGGTGCATGTTAAATTTTCAACCAGAAGTTCCTCTCATACAGATTTTTATACACTCAGGAAGCTGCGTGTCCAATTTTATGTTTTTAGGTTAAATATTATAGAAAATTCAAAAAATACTATTAAAAAAAGTACCAGAAAGTCTCTTTTTATATATTTTCGTTCAATCAGGATACTATATGTTTCATTTAATGTTTATACAATACCAAAAGACATCTTTTATTTAATTTCATGTTTTTTAAGTTCAATATTATCGAAAATTCAAAAAGTACCAGTTAATGAACGAAAAAGTACCAGAAAATACTCCATTTTAGATTTTAATTCACATAAGTCCCTGAATGCTTAGTTTTGAGTTTCTATGTTCAATATAATTGAAAACTTAAAAAGTACCAGTTGAAGAACGAAAAAAGTACCAAAGAGTTCCCTTTTATAGGTTCTTATTTACTCCTTATGTCTCTAGGTTCAATATTAAAAAAAATTCAAAAAATACCTATTGAAGAACGAAAAAGTACAAAAAATTCCCCTTTTATAGGTTCTCATTTACAACAGGTTCTACATGCTAAATTTCATGTTTCTAGATTCAATATTATAGAAAATTTAAAAAGTACCTTTTGAAGATCGAAAATGTACCAAAAAAATGTAACTGAAAATGTACCTTTTATAGTATGTTCTCACTTACTTCGAGCTCGACATGCTTAATTTCATGTTTCTAGGTTCAATATTATAGAAAATTCAAAAAGTACCTTTTGAAAAAAGAAAAAAAGTACCAAAAAGTCCTATTTTACAGATTCTCCTTCACTCTGGGCTCTACATTCTTAATTTCATGTTTCTAGGTTCAATATTATAGAAAGCTCAAAAAGTGCTTAATTTCTTGTTTTCATGTTCAATATTATAGAAAACTCAAAAATTACCTTTGGAAGAAAGAAAAAGTACCAAAAAGTCCTCTTTTATAGGTTCTCATTTACTGCGGGCTCTACATGCTTAATTACATGTTTCTAGGTTCAATATTATAGAAAACTCAAAAAGTACCAGTTAAAGAACGAAAAAGTACAAAAAGTCCCCTTTTATGGGTTCTCACTTACTCCGGTCTCTACATGCTTAATTTCATGTTTCTAGGTTTAATATTATAGAAAACTCAAAAAGTACCTTTTGAAGATCGAAAAAGTACCAAAAACTCCCCTTCTATAGATTCTCATTAACTCCGGGCTCCACATGCTTAATATTATGTTTCTAGGATCATATTATAAAAAACACAAAAAGTACCAGTTAAAAAACGAAAAAGTACCAAAAAATAGTCCTTTGTACCGAAGTTCCAAGTAACACCCCATTGTTATATTTAGTTAAAATTGGGTGAGTGAGTTTGAATAAAATCAAATTTCCCGTGTTTCCCCCCTTTTGGTACTTTTTCTCCGTATTGAAGTGATAAACATTTTATTATAAATATTTGCAATATCATAGTAAGAGCCCATTATTATTATTCATACACATGTTAATACAAATCAATACATAGGAAACAATATTTTATGCAAAAAGTACCTAAAATAGGTACAATTTTCACCCCTTAATATCCAAAAAGTACTAAATTTGTATTTTGATTTTTCCGTTAGGTTATGAAGGAGTCAAAAATATCTTTTGTATGTTCATTGGTTTAAAAGATACATGGGGTGCAAAAAAAGTACCAAAATACAGTTTTTACCCGTTAATTCCCTAAAGGAGCCGAATTTGAAAAAAGTACCAGACACCTGTCCGCTTATTTTTTAAATGAACGGCAATAAGCTTTAAACTGTTTTTGTATCTCTTCTAGTTTAGGAGATATGAGTTTACCGAATTTACCCGTTTTTACCCACTTAACAGTAACATTTCCAAAAATTCCGTCTTAATGGATCTTTTTGGCGAGATACCAATCTCCTGTCCAAATTTCAGCTCTTTAGCTACAACCGTTTAGGCTATGCGATGATGAATCAGTCAGTCAGTCAGTGAGTCAGTAACGTTAGAATTTTATAAATATAGATAGATATAGATAGATAAATTGCGAATTGTTGACTATTTTTAAAAGATTCTCTAATCTTAAGCTACGTTCACACCTATGAAATATTTGACGTTTTTTATCAAATATTTGTTGGCTGTAATGTGAACACAAAATATTTTTGAAGAGCAAACAAAATATCAGCTGTTTCGTGAAACATTTTTATTTGTCAACCTACAAATATTTTCCCAATATGAACACAATGTGAACACCAAACACGAAACATTTTTGTTTAACGTTAAAAAAATTATTTAATTAAATTACAATAGTTTTTTACAATTTCATAGAAATTTCTGCCTAAAAACAAGAAATTAAATACGTTTTTATTTCATAATGTGCTTAAAATGAGTAATCTGTTTTGACGTTTTGTTTGAAGAAGCAATGCCAAACACAATTCAGTACAAATAGTAAAAATTTGTGAAAATTATCGCTATAAGCCGGAAAATAACCAAATTATAAATTATTTTCATTAAATTATCTATAAAATTTAAAATTATTGAGAATTGTTTATTATTAATATACTAGCTATACTCAGTGTGCTTTGCTACCCTAGAAGGAATATGTATAAATAAAAATCCCACTTAACGATTTTGAAGATTTTAACCACAATCGTTTTCCAGATTTATAATACGTTACATATGAGAGATGTCAAGCAAACTATTGCGAGTTCGACAGTTTTCTATCTATCGCCAATTTCTATCTATCTATAAAAATTTTAATAATAGAAGAATTTCCAAGATGCACGAAATTTTGTATTTAATTTATATATGTTGTGCCAAGCCACCCTTATGCTTTAAATGTTCACATGAATTTCAAAGTTCTTCATGTAAAATTTGAAGATTCTAGCTCTAATAGTTTCTCAGATATACGAATTTTTCTATTTGATTCACGTGGGGGTTTCAAGCTCCCCACATTGAGAATTTTGGAATTTAAATTGAGAAAACTCCAATTAAAATTGGGAAAGTTTCAAATGAAATTGAGAAAATTTTAAATGAAATTAAGAAAATTTCAAATGAAATTGAACCTTTTATTTATATAACACATTTTAAAAAACAAATAATGAAGAAATTCCAATGTTAATCCACCGATTGTCGAGGAACAATGGCTGGTTTATCATGAATACTATGTACGAATACCACTCAAGCGATATGTGTTGGTAGTCTGAATCAGGGTTTAATATTTAGTTTTTTGTTTTATTTTTTAAATGTCGACTGAACTGAAGAAAGTTCAAGTATTTATTTTTCCCTCACAAGCTAACTGAAGTCAGTCAACTGTGTCAACGCACTGCTGCAATAACTTGCAAGTGGTTTTGTTTTTCTTCAGCAGCCACACACACAAGCAGCGACCATGTTAAGTTTTTCAACTCAGCCAAACTGAACACAACGACTGAACAGTAAAAACTGATTTGCGTGTGCTGCTTACGTATTGCTTAGTTCTTGGTTTCGTTTTCTTACTAAGGGACGTAAAAAAACTGATGGTTTGACTGGTTAGTACAAATCAAGCCGACTGAACAATAAAACTTGATGGGTTGTTTGTTCAGTAAGACTTTGTTATTGTATGCAATTTGTTTTAGTATATTGTATGTTTTTGTGTTTAAATTTGACAAAAGTAGATAAAGTAATTGATAATTATTGCTAATAGAAATTGTTAATTAATTTAAAATTTATAAAATTTTAAATTACTATACTTATAAATTAGATATTTTCTTTAAATATAAATTGATTTAAATTTAAGCATTTTGATGATTTTTTAGTGAGATTTTGTTATTGTATGTATATATGTATGTATGTATATTAGGGTGGGTCGAAAATAGGCTTTTCGCTCGGATCAACATCTAATAGTGAAATTATGTTGTATTTTAACGTCAAATGGAAGACTGTAATATATTATTCAATTATAAATTGGTTAAAAAAGTTTTGAGTTATTAAAATTTCCCCCGAGAATTTTGTGATTCTGAAGACATATAAAAGTAAATATAATAAAATTGTTGTTAGTTTTGAAAAATTTTACAAACAAATATTATGTTTATCTTTATAAGGTTCATAAATGTGCTAGTACGAATTTTTGTTCAAATTGGATAACGCTTACTCGGTTTAGTCTGTGGTCAAAAAAGGGCCATTATTTTAACAGCATTAAGTAAAAATTATATTATTACCAATTGTTGCTTAATTTTGATCAATTAAATTGCGATTATTATTTTCGAGTCCATGAAAAGTTATTTCTGATAAAATTTCCGAAATTTAAAAATCATTAACCCTCTAAAAACCGGGGTCAAAATCAAGTTTTTGTATATTTAATATTCTTCATTAAAAAATAGC